ATCTCCAACAAACCATGTGTCATTACCAATACATTTGTAACGAATATACAAAATTTGTCACCTAAACTTCTAGCGTCGAGTTTTACAGGACAAACGAAAGGTAACAAATCTATCGTTACAATAAGTTTTGGTGACAAATTAGGCCCTTATTGTGACAATTTTTTTCCTTGCTAAAAGTGTTTTTTTTTTTGTAGTGATATATGCATAGTTTATAGTAGACATGACCACCGGTTCGGTTAGAACCGGAACCGGAACCGAATAAAACCGGTTCGCTTCCGGTTCGTTATTTTCGGAACCGAGAACCGACGATTAGAATCGCGGTTCAAACCGTTTTTTTTAAATTAAATTATTTAAAGTTTAATTCTATAAATTTTAAAATTTAAAAATTAAGTGCAAGCCTTTCAATTTCTTTCATTTTCCTTTTTTAATTTTTATAACTAAAGCTAATTCCTTCAAAAAAAATTAAAAGTAAATTTTTTTTTTAAGTATTTAAAAAAAAACATTAAATTTTTTTTTAGTATTTAAAAAAAACTTTAATTTTTTTAAGTTTTTGAAGTATTCTTTCCACTGCTTTTTTTAAATCAAATATTTTTAAGTATTTTTTTAACTTATATATAAAAAAATAGACAGAATCGGCCGGTTCTAATCGGGAACCGAACCGCAAGGAACCGGAAATATTCGGTTCGGTTCCGGTTCCTCCAAAATCGGAACTGGAACCGACGGTTTGGAACCGAAACGGGAGCCGAACCGAACCATGGTCATGTCTAGTTTAGAGTACTGGTAGTGGTCGTATTAATAATTTGATGGCGCATGCAGTGCGGGTAAACTTGGTAGCCAAGTATTCGGTCTCATGCATGTGATTATATGCTAAACATAGTCATTAATTAATCCAGTGCAGTTAACTTGAAATTACTAATAATCAGCTTAAAGTTGTTTACTTATTAATCCAGTATTAACCTAACATGATCAACATGAGCTTTGCCTTGCATATTAAGGAGGCATATTTATATATCTATCATCCCTCCAAAATTAAAGACTAAAGCTGCTGCCAAGAATTAATTATTTAATTTTTTTAATTATTCCTTAATTTGAAACAAACAATTCATTAACTAGCTAAGCTAGTACTTAATAATATATTGTCTTACAATTATAAAAAAATACATATATGTGTATACCTCCCAAGTACTACTCCGGCCTTAAAGGAAGCATATATATATGATATCGATCTCGTTACATCATATATACCTAGAATATATATATAATTTATAAATATAAAATTATATGCTACGTACTGCTCAACTTGTGCTACCAATTATAATGCAGAGATCATGTGTTGAGTGTAGATTTTACACAATACGTTTACTCTACGTGGATCTTTTGTTTGGATTTAATTATATTTGTACTTTAATTGATTGATTTTATGTTTTATAGGTGAAAAACGAGAATTAGGTGTCCATGAAAGAAAAAAAAAGATCAAAAAGAAAGGAAAAAGTTGCAAATAAGGAAATAAATCAAAAGAATAAAGAATATCGCCACAACTTTGGCAGTGTCCACTATTTCAAGCATATCTTTCTCATACAAACTCCGAATCAGATGATTTTGGCGGCATTGGAAAGATAATTTCAAGGGCTACAATTCTTATTTAGACAACATTCCAAAATTCGGACTCCAACATAGCAAAAATCGACGAACACATTCTGATGGGGGAAAGTGGCGGAAATTGATTCCTATAAGGTTTCCACTACTTCCTTATCAAGAAAAGCCTATAAAAGCAACAAGTCTCTACACCATAAACACGAAATTTTACACCGCAAAACGCAAAGAACAAAGATCAACGAATACTCAAGCATAGTTTTTCTTATTTATTTTATTTATTCTATTTTGTTTATCATAAGAATTACGAGTAGCTAAGTTTTTATTCTAGGATTTTATTAGAACCTTATGTGGTAATTCGAACCTATTTTCTAATATTATGCAAGTTTAAATTCCATGATTATTTCTTCTATCTGGTCTTATTTAGTGCATGAACCTAGCTAATTTATGTTGTTATGTGTTATTGTTAGAATTGAATCGACAGATCGTTTTAATAATTAGAACAGGGATAGAAGAGCCTTCGAGTAGTTTTCACCGGATGAGTGTGTCAATTGCTTGTATTATCGTAGACATACAGATAATACCTTAGGTAGCCGTTTACGAGACTTGTTATTTAATGTTTTATTTATAATTGGTTTGCATAGACATATAGTATCCGTTTATGAATAATAGACTCATAATACACGCGACAGCGGGTTATGAGTAATTTAGTGTATCGGGTTAATAATCAGGAATCGTAACTTGCATGATAGAGGTTTAATTGGGTGATGAATTATCGCATAGGGAGAAGATAAAATCCTAGATTTATTTTTATTGATATTTTCTCGTATTTTGCTTTCATAATTAATTTAATTATTTAGTTGGTTAAATTTGATAACCTTGCGTAGGCTGGATAATAATCATAATTGTAAGAATTTGGTACTTAGGATTAGGTAATTTGAGTATTCCCTGTGGGATCGACATCCGACTCTCACGAGTCCACTTTTACTACTTGTTTGCGATACGTATACTTGCGTGTTAGGTATTTAGCCCAACATATATAAATTACAAGAATTCTTGCCATGGTTGTATGTCAGTCAATATCAAATTAAATCATGGTAATTATTCTATATAATGGATACCCTTCTTCAACTAGTTATTATTACTAATTATTATACAAAACTAGGTATATATATATATATATATATATATATATATATATATATATATATATATATATATATATATATACACACACACATGCATGTGAAGGTATGTTTCCTGGCAACGCGTCTCCAACAAAGAGAGATTCCTGATCTGCATTATATATATGTATTGATCAATCAAACCACTAAAGTGTAGGAAAAGGGATTCCCAATCTTAATTACGGACTACTTAATTAATTCCCACTTGTAATCTCAAATTAATTATATATTAACCACTAAAGCTAGCTAGCTTATTGAACTAATTAATTAATTAATTACTTAGTTAAAAGAGAAAAAGTTAATGAGGACAACACAATAATGATGATATGTTTATTCCTCACTTTGAACTTTTTCCTGCACTAACTAATTAATTCCCAGGAAAGGAAAGGAAAGCAAATAATTGTACAAAATCATATATAGTAAAACAAATATATATATTCATGAGTTATTAATGTTTGAATTGCTTATCGTAAAAAAAAATATGAATTATTAATTAATGTTTGAAGTAATGGAAGTTAAGAAATGAAAACTTGGTTAAATTATTGAAGTAGTTTTGTCCAAAATGTAATGAAAGCAATTTGTAGGTGAATGAAAATAAAACTAAACAATTAGAGGATGACACGTACGGCGCATGCATGCATGTATAACCAAATTGAAATAATAATGCATGCAGTGGGTCCTTTGAATCTCTGCCTCTATTCGAAAAATACAAACTTCAATTACTGGTGACAAGATATATTATTTCAAATTAATAACCCCTTCAATATATTTTTTTGAACACAAAAATAAAAACAACGTACTATCCTATTTAATTTATATTAATATATCAAATATGCTGATACATACCAACATTCTGGTATAATCGAGTATTAATTTTTTATAATAAAAAAAGTACATAATTAGTAATCACTTTATTAAAATATATATGGTTAATTATTATATTGTTAAATATCTGATGAGCTGGTACGTATACATCAAAAATGAAATACAGTGCTTTCGGACAGTTTTCATGTTGTTTTATTTTTGGGTCAACCATTACTGTTTATTTTTTGGTCAGCTATTAATTACTTTGGATTGCATGCACTAATTGAAATATCAAAAAGAAAATATAAAATATATATGTGAGAGAGAGAGAGAGAGAGAGAGAGGTTTCGTCGGAAGGAAAGTCAGCAGGTAGCAGCGCGCAGCTGGAGAAGATGATGGTAAAAGTATGGTGTTTGTTTAATCAATTATTGGTGTTGTGGTAGGGGCCACCCGGCCCCAAGGGCGGTTTCATTATATATTATCATTACTATTAATCTAGTATAATATAGCTATTATCATTACTACTAATCTAGTATTACTATATTTCAAAAATGAATACATGCATCTCTTTTATTTTATTTATTCATCTCAATATCATATCATATCATATCATATTAGTTCATTCAGTAATCTTCGATTATATTAATTAGGAGATTATCTAATCTTCATTACTTCAATTACTATTTCTTAATCCAATAGATCATGAATATTAATTGAGTCACTTAAACAATGTCACTATGTAAAAAATAAATATCGGATGCCTTGCCATTTATGTCCATGTACTGATGATGTACACACACCTAATTAATTAATTAAACCAAAAATTTCAAATAAACTGAAAACAAATATTTTAATTTACATAAATATTGTAATAGAGTTTGTTTAGCCGACATTTAAACTCAACGCGGGTCCTCGTTTTGAACCCAAAATAATATATAATTTTCAACAAATACATTAAATTAAAAAAGGAAGAACAAGTAGATTAGCTAGCTAAAATTGTGGAATGAAAATTTAGTTAAGAATAAAATGATATGTTATAAATGAAAATGAAATAGAATAAAAGACAAGAGTGAGTGAATAAAAAAATAATAGAAAAGAGAATGAGTAGAGCAAACAAGTAAGTAATAATAATAATGCAAAAGAAAAATAAAATACTCCCAAACTACCGTTGCAGCTAATTGCCTGGCCATTGACTTTTCCCTTTTCTTTTTCATTTATTTTCTTTCTTTCTGCACACACTCTCTCTCTCTCTCTCTCTCTCTCTCTCTCTCTCTCTTCTGTATCTGTATTAACTAATAATAATTAAAAATAATAAAAAAAATAAAAAAGAAGAATCTGTTTAGCGCTGGCTGGGTTTTCAATTCAACCTCCTCTCCTTACTTATATTGGTAGCTAGCAATAGAGGGCTGTCTGTATTCGCTACCCAACAAATACATATTGCCGATTCATTCCCCAACCACTCTCACTTTCTCTCTCTCTAAATTCATCTGCATATTATTTCTTCTTCTTCTTCTTCCGTTTCTTCATCATCATCATCATCATCATCATCCAATACTCGATCTCTTTGATTATATATATCTATTTTGATTGCTCCAATAGTCGGCCAGCTGGATCCTTCACCCGGATATTCCACCCCTTAATCCCAATTTTATAAAAGCCTTTTCAGTATGTAATCTGTTCTCATCTTCTACACAACGTTTTTTCTCAAAAAACAAAAAAAAAAAAAGTTTAAATTATTATCCCCTAGCTCGTATCCATATATAGGAATTGAAGTGATTTAGGAGGCTGGATATCGTAGATATTCGTATTCCGTAGCTTCACCTTTATAAAAATCTACAAATCATGTAAATTCAGCTCCCTCCATTCATTCCTATTCTTACCTTTTTCTTCATCCTTTAAAAAAAAACAAAAAAAAAAAGATCAATAGATCGATCGATCATCAATTGTTGATCATCGCGCGAATGGGGGATTACGAGGCAGGAATGGGGGCGATGTCGACGCCGGCGACGCCAGGGACACCAACGCCGCTGATGCCATCGTCGCTGAGGGTGGACTCAATGTCATACGATCGGAAGTCAATGCCTCGGTGCAAGTGCCTGCCAGTTGACGCGCCTACTTGGGGTGCTCCACACACCTGCCTCACCGACTTCGCTGTCCCTGATATTTCTCTCACTCGCAAGGTACTTAATTAATTACTCTATCTATTACTTAGTAATTACTACTCTATTTTCGGTTTTTATTATTAATCATGTTCCAAGTTTCAACCTTCATGCGGTGTGGTGTGGTGTGGTGTGGTGTGGTGTGGTGTGGGCCCCCTCCTCCTTTTCATCACTTTTTGCTCTACTCAATTTCTTTGTGAACTAGTAGTATGCATTCACACATGACACAACTGGAATTACACAATTAATTAATTAACTAATTAAACCTGATATTTATGTATATAATTCCATAATGAATGTGCATTGCGAGTAGATGGATCTATCTATATATTCGTTAACAATAAGAAAAGAAAAACGAAATAGACCATATATATTAAATTGAAGTGATTACTATGTTTTTAATTAATTTATATTAATAAAGCATATATACTCTCACTTAAAATCGTGCTAGTAATTAACTATTTGAAATTTATAAGTATTAACCATGCAGTAATTAATTATCAATACCAAGCTGAATTAATTATTTGTATAAGTGTTTCAGAATTGGCAGTGGAAGATGCCTTTTTGGTTGGAAATTGGAATTATTATTGAACTATTTTTGACTCTTACGGTTTAGGCATCTTCTTGTCAAGCATTATCAACATTTTGTTGTATCTGTTTCCTACGAATCTTCTTGTCGGGGCATAAAGCAATACCCTTCATTTTTATTGAACTATGCACTCAATGATTGAACATGTATTTCACATAAACTTGATCACCGTACCATATATTAGCAAATATGAATTTGGTGAAATAGTTTATAGTAGACATGAGAGGAATTGGTAGAATCTAATAAAAAGTAATTAAGTGCAGCTGGGAGCGGAGTTTGTTGGGACATTCATACTGATATTTGGGGCAACAGCTGCACCAATTGTGAACCAAAAGTACGCCGGTTCTGAAACCCTAATAGGGAATGCAGCATGCGCCGGTCTGGCCGTCATGATAGTGATATTGTCTACTGGACACATCTCCGGGGCCCACCTCAACCCCTCACTCACCATAGCCTTTGCCGCACTCCGCCACTTCCCTTGGGTTCAAGTTCCAGCCTACATTGCAGCTCAGGTCTCTGCTTCAATCTGTGCATCGTTTGCTCTCAAAGGGGTCTTTCATCCTTTCATGTCAGGTGGGGTCACTGTTCCTTCTGTCGGCAATGGCCAGGCTTTCGCCCTCGAGTTCCTCATTACCTTTAATCTCCTCTTCGTTGTAACCGCCGTTGCCACAGACACTCGAGCTGTGAGCCCCCCTCTCTCTCTCTCTCTCTACATATATTTTTCTTTCCCTTTCTATCAATACTATGTCAATATAATATTAATGTTTTGAATGTATGATGGTATGCGTCTATATAAAGGTTGGAGAACTAGCAGGAATAGCGGTTGGGGCTACAGTCATGCTTAATATTCTTGTGGCTGGGTGAGTGCAAAACTAGAATCATTAATATCCTATATATGCGCGTGCACACACACACACACACACACACACACACACATATATATATATATATATATATATATATATATATATATATATATATATATATATATATATATATATATATATATGTATTGCAGCTTGACTAATAATATATGTGTTGTGTTGTGTTGTGAAAACTAAGCCAACTACGTGTGGGTCTATGAATCCAGAGAGATCTCTTGGACCATCTGTGTCCTCAGGGAATTACAAGTCTATATGTATATATCTGGTGGCACCCACGCTTGGTGCAATTGCAGGGGCAGCTATCTATACACTCGTCAACTCCGTGCTGAAGATGAACCTGAGGCCCGCCCTGTCAGGAGCTTCCGCCGCTAGGCGCAGGTCCACATATGGTGGCTATTATTGTTATAAATTATATATTGCTAAGTGTGTAGTTGTGGTATGTGGGAATAAAGGTCAGGGGCGAAGCAGCTGTATCCCATTCCGCCCTTTGATGATATTTGTTTGAATAAATTAGTGCTTGGACTCAGTTTGTTGTTTTCTTCCAAGCACTTCCATTACTATCAAGGAAGATCAGAGCATATATATGTATCCTCCTCCTTGGGTGATCTTTTGATCTTGATCTTGGGGGGAAGATAAAAAAAGACTCTGATGATTTATGTGTGTGTAATACGATAATGATAATGCAGTACTCTTTTAATAATGTCATTATTTATTATGTTGTGTGGTAATGTTCATTATAGCCGTCTTTTATGTTTTTACATCTTTGCTTCCTTGAAATTGGTCATAATTATTTTCTCTACTGTCTAGAATTGATTGGAAACTTAGACGACAAGTTCATCAAAAGTATCACTGCAATAAATATATATATGCTCTCTCCTCTCATTTTGAACTTTGTGGAGATGAAAGAAAAGGAAGACGAATAAGTGTATCTCAATCTTACCAGTCGGTCGTCTTGTAGGAGGTTGGAGCTTATGTCGATTGGTTTGTCCTGATCGTTTCAAAGTTTGTGTCATTTGCATCGCCATCAAAGCACTGATAAGAAGTAGTGGAGGTTGTTAAAGTATTTTATGGATTTAGAGTTCGGGAATCGGGAGCAAGATATTATTTGAACAGGGCAGGGCTCCCACGTTACAAAAAAAAAAAATCTAGAGAGATTGATTTGCGGAAACCAACAAATAATGAAAGAGGAACGTTAGAGCGACTTAGCTCGGCCAGAAAATAAATTAGTTTTTTAAAACACTACTCCCTCCTCCATCAACCATTATGACTTATGACTTATGAGTAAACATACATTTATGGAAGTTGACTTTTACTTTCTTTTTTTCTCATTTCTGAAAATTCTCTCTCTCTCTCTCTCTCTCTCTCTCTCTCTCTCTCTCTCTCTCTCTCTCTCTCTCTCTCTCTCTCTCTCTCTCTCTGTCTCTCAAGAATCACGTGAATTGAGGTGATGAAAACAATAAGTAAAGTAGTAGGGAATAAAATATACTTGACTTGATGAAGGACTGTAATTGGGTAATGGCTCATCTTTTTTTTTTTTTCTTCTCAAGTAATGACGGAGTGGGGGGGCTGATTGTATTCAAAATTTTCCATATCTTTCAAGATATCTTGATGGCGGAGTGGAGGCCCGTTATAGATCATGAGGTAGGTTAATTGAGTTGGAAAAAGAAAAGAAAATTATTCATGAAATATATCCAGCTTCACATATATATATATATATATATATATATATATATATATATATATATATACCTTAATAATAACTCAACGTATAGAAGAGAGCCATAATAAGTTTTTGGTGAAATCAGTCTCCTTAATAATTTGAGTTTGACAAGTAGCAGTGGCGGTGATGATGGAGTACGATGACAAGTCAATGGCTGGTTCGCCAGTAATTCATCGTGTTTTGTCTGTTATTACACCTAATCCCACTCTCATTCGCAAGGTACGTACGTAGCTACCTGCATATATAATGAATCACATTAATATATTATCGATACGTAATTATATTATATAATGTATATAAATATAGGTGGGAGCAGAGTTTGTAGGAACGTTCATCCTGATATTTGCAGCGGTGGGGGGACCCATAGTGAACGAAAAGTACAACGGAGTTGAATCCCTTATCGGAAACGCTTTGTGCGCGGGGCTGGCGGTGATGATAGTGATACTGTCAATAGGTCACATCTCCGGGGCCCACCTCAACCCGTCTGTCACCGTAGCTTTTGCGTTTCTCCGCCATTTCCCCTGGTCTCAAGTACCTGCTTACATTGCCGCACAGATATCCGCCGCCATATGTGCATCATTTGCTCTCAAAGCAGTCTTCAACCCTTTTATGTCCGGCGGGGTAACTGTTCCTTCGGTCAGCGCCAGACAGGCTTTCGCACTAGAGTTCTTCACTACATTTTTTCTGCTCTTTGTTATTATTGCCGTAGCCACAGATACCCGCGCCGTACGCACCCTCACTCCCATAGTCCCATATATATATATGCATATCTACATATGCAGTTATTCATGTGCGTTGGTTACGTATAACTGCAGGTGGGAGAGCTAGCGGGGGTAGCCATCGGAGCAACAGTTATGCTTGATGTTCTTCTGGCTGGGTGAGTAGAAAAATAAAACAAAATGATTATGAATAATATATCCCAAAGCTAATTAAGTTACTTGAATGAATTAAGATGAAGATTAATGGGTGACATATATATATATATATGGATCAGGCCATCGACAGGGGCATCAATGAATCCAGCAAGAAGCCTGGGGCCAGCCATAGCAGCAGGGAATTACAAGTCAATATGGATATATATAGTGGCCCCAACACTAGGTGCTGTCTCAGGTGCAACTACCTACTCTCTCATCAGACAAGATGAACCTCCTCTTCACATTCAGACCGTCAGGACCTTCGGCCGCCACTAGCGCCAATATTATGATAATGCATGCATATTCAATTGTTGTCTTTGATAGGCAGCAATGATCAGACAACTCCATACCCTAGTTTCTGTCATTATATATAATTAATTATTAATGGTGTGTAAATGGAGCGGCTAGATGATCCAAAGTGCTCAAATCAACATATATATATATTTGTCTCCAAGAATCTTAGACTTCATTTTCTTGTTGGAAAATATAATCAAAGCATGAAGCATTGTGTGTAGACAATACAAGTTGACTTTACTTTTCTTTCTTTATTTCATCTATCTTGATGACGGGCTGAGAAGTGACGCTAAGAATAAATAATCAAAGAGGCCCGTGAATTGAGTTGATGAAGTAAGTTATAATATTAGAGAAAGTAGGATAAAAAAGTTGATCTTTTCTGCTCTTTTGGTTTCTTACTGACTGAGTGGGAGGGCTGATTGTAGGAATATATAATCAAAGTGGCCCGATAGGCCCGATTTATGAATTGATCAAATAAGTTATACTAAATAAAATACTAACCGTGTAGCATTGTAATTGAGGTAATGGTTGACATTTTTCTATCACCATCTTTGATGACGGAGTGGAAGCCTGTTTTAAAATAAAAGAAGAGTTGTTAAAACCCATGGCGCCATGAAATATTTAATAATTTTCCGAGAGTTTTTTCTCTTGTATAAAAGTATGACTAAAACCAGATTGATATACATAATATACCTTAATTCTGATCCACAAAAACGTACATAAGACATCCATAGTTTTCAGTGCATTCCGTCCATCAATGGCTCCTTCCAGCTTCCCGCAGCCATTAATGAATCACGTCTTGCCTATTATACGGTCTAATGCCACTCTCGCTCGCAAGGTAGCACAATGACATTATCATTTACCAATTCCATCTGGTTAATTCATTCAAGCATTATACTCATCATTATCTAAATATATATATATAGGTGGGAGCAGAGTTCGTGGGAACCTTCATCCTGATATTTGCGGCGGCGGGTGGGCCCATACTGAACGAAAAGTACAACGGGGTCGAAACACTTATCGGAAACGCTTTATGCGCTGGACTGGCTGTGATGATAGTGATATTGTCAATCGGTCACATCTCCGGGGCCCACCTCAACCCATCTGTCTCCATAGCATTTGCCGCTCTACGCCACTTCCCGTGGGTTGAAGTTCCAGCTTACCTTGCAGCCCAGATATGTGGGGCCATCTGTGCATCCTTTGCTCTCAAAGGATGCTTCCACCCTTTCTTGTCCGGCGGAGTCACTGTTCCTTCTTCTTCAGTCACCACCGGCCAGGCTTTCGCCCTTGAGTTCCTCACTACCTATTTTCTTCTCTTCGTCATTATTGCCCTCGCCACAGATACCCGTGCCGTTAGTCCATCACTATTACCACCTTACAAGCACAGAAAACAGACACACACTCACACAGAACTTGCTTATGTGCAGGTTGGAGAACTAGCAGGAATAGGTATCGGAGCCATAGTTATGCTTGATATTCTTGTGGCTGGGTGAGTATTCATTTACGAATTCAATTCGCTTAACTACCTCTCAAAATTAATTAAACAAATTAATAATGAATATATAGTGTGCTAGTAATTTAATCGGTATGGGGACGCATGCAGGTCATCCACAGGTGCTTCAATGAATCCAGCGCGAACTCTGGGGCCAGCTATTGCGGCAGGAAATTACAAGTCAATATGGATATACATTGTGGCCCCAACGCTTGGAGCTGTTGCAGGTGCAGCTACCTATACTCTGCTCAAACTCCGACCACAACCTGATGAACAAGTTAGGAGCTTCCCCACAGTGTAGTTCATCTACTATGTCCGATCAACTATTGTACTTAATTACATGCCCGCCACTGATTGACACCTGAGTTCAGTTCATTAGGGAGAGCAGCTGACCAGGTACTCAAATCTGGCAAAGGTCCCGTCAAAGCCATATAGTTTTCGCCTGCACTCTTTGCCATCTTTTTCCAATTTACCTGATCAAATTTGCAAATTCTGAGCTTACAACAACCACAACATAATCGATATACATACATGAATTAGTTCCTTATTATCTTTTATTTAAACTGATTAGCATAAAGGTTAAAACAATAATAATCATATAAATCTCTCAGCCTTTACATGGAAAGGTTCTATCCATATCTCTGGATCCCAAAAGTAACTATAATATTGGACTAAGTGGGTAATTTACTGTATCTTCATATATAAGGATTGAAAACAAATAGCTCGAGTAGAGCTACAAATAGGGCAAATTTATTTCGCATGTTTCTGCCAAACACATCGGAACGTTTCCGAGGCCGAATCCGCTTTGACTTTGACAAATTCATTGCCTGTCATTTTTCTTTCTTTGATTATACCAGATTATGAAATTAATCAGTATAATTAATTTCTTGATGCTGCTTGTTAGTTTTCAGGACTTGAGATTATGAAATTTCTTCAGAAAGCAGGCATAATGAATCAGTGTATACTCAAGACTAGTTCTCGATTTTGCTTAATGTTATCTAAACATATCAGACAGCGTAGTATTCATGCCCATCCCATTACCATTATGATATACCAGATTATCTTGAACTAACAATATTATTTTGAACATAAAAAAACACCATACTTGTCCAGGAAACGCTTCGCATAGGGCCCTAATGGTAGCATTTAATCTCCAAGTGTCATCCATTGATGAATCATCATTTTGAGATATCATAGCAGTTGATCCTTCTTCACCAGCACCGCAATTCACCATGAAACGACCATTAGGCATCAATTTATCATTGAGTTCCAACCAAGTAGCAGCCTGGTTAATTAAGAGCAGAATAGCATTACAAAAATGCATTTCAATGGAGAAAATATGACCAAAGAAGACACAATAATGTATTCATATTTAGAAACTTGAAGTTAATAAAATATTTGAAAGAATAATTGAAAGTTCCTGGAACAAAGAGGCGCCTTCTACGTACAAAATTTTCAAATTAAAGCAGGCACAAAAACATTATTTCAACAATGTGGTTTTATGGTCCAATAGTGAATTGATAAGTCATCTCTACTATAACTTTTCTCAAACTTCAAATTTTGTTATGGGTATTCTAACTGCAATTATTCAAGAGTAAAAAGCAGTTTACCCCCTAAACTATGACCCGTTTTGCACTTTACCCCCCAAACAATTTTTTTTTGCACGTTTTTACCTGAACTTAATTTTTCGTTGCACGGTGCCCTAAAAATGTAATTTTGACCGGAATCTTACACCACATGCCATTCACGTGAGTTTGGCAGGGTCAAAAGTGTCTATTACCCTACATTCATCAAACTAAATAAAAAAGAAAGAAAAAAAACCAAATAATAATAATAAAAGAAAAGAAAAGAAAAGGAGCAAAAATCTGCAACCCCTCCTCCTTCCTCGAGAAAATGAAAAACCTGCAAACATGAGAGAACCAAAATTGTCTACTAGTGTCGCCGCCGTAGAAAACCTGCTCCGAGTGACTTTTCACCACCAACTCAAAGATGAAAGCTAAATTTTATTTGAACTAAATTTGGCCTGCTCCCGTTCTCCGCCGGCAAACTCGACGATGACGCCGATGCCACCTCCGCCGGCAAACCCTGCAACTTTATCCTCCACAAAAATGCTACCAATCTCCACAATAATTGAACCACCCCGAGAATTTGGGGAAAAACAAGAAATTCTTTCACCGGAGAAATTGTTCCCTGCCCTAAATCTCAACTATTAATTTACTTACGTATATACTCGGGTATAAAAATATTGAACGAAAACAGAACAAAAGGAAAAAAAAAAAAGTCCACTTCCCCCCTCTCATAAATCTCTGCAACAATAAAAAAAAACTGAACGGTTTTCTCACTCGTTTCTACGCCGCGCCGCCGTACGTTCACCCGCCGGAAAAATTAAAGTCCACTCCATCTCCTCCAATATTAGGCGCGTATCTTCCTTTCACTTATTAATTGTCAGATTATCTTCGTCTTTTGTCGCGATAGATGCAGTTAATTGGCGGCCTATATGAATCGGAGTTCAACCGGAACGATTTTCTGTGTGAAGTATATTATTATACATATAAGTATTTGATTTTGCAAATAATAAATTCAGTCGTTTTTTTTTTAAATAATTGTTTTGGTTGGTTGGTGAGAGATGGGTAGTATAATCGACGCCATCTTTGTGGAGAAAAATAATAAGAACAAAAACATGAAAGATTAAGGAAGAAAATGAGGTTTTGAGCTTTGAGTTGATTTTTTGAAATTTGTGTTGAGATGTTTTGGCTGGGCTCGGGTTTGGGAGGCTGGTGAGTTACAGCTTTTCTTGTTTTTTCTTTTTTTTTTGATTATTTATTTATTTATTTAATTTAAACTATTAATTTATATTTAATATATAGGATGAATGTGAATGGACAAATTTATCCCCGCAAATCTCACGTGCACTGCACATGTTTTAGAATTCCGGTCAAAATTACCGGAAAATCTAGTTCAGGGGGAATCGTGCAACGAATAAACGAGTTCAGGTAAAAACGTGCAAATTTTTTTTGTTTAGGGGGCAAAGTGCAAAACGGCCCTTAATTTAGGGGGCAAACTGCTTTTTACTCATTATTCAATGACACTATAGTTCGGATTTTGTACCATCTGAATAGAAAAAACAAAAAGCTAAAATCATTTTTGATCTATCACGACATATATCATTTGTCAAATAAATCTGATCATCATAACTTAGATATTTCCAACATCTTGAGATATAAAATTGAAAAGCTCAAAAGTTGTAGCGTAGCACCAAATAGAATTTGTTGAAATTGAAAGAGATAGATCTCCTAAGAAACTTATATATGAGAGTTCACGAATCTACGAAAAGAGTTGTAGAAAGGAACCCCAAATGCAGAACTACAACTGTCATATCACGATGGTCTGTGAGGACCACGAATACCAAGTAAAACAACAACTATTAAGCCCAATACTTAGAAACTTAGTACCTGTTCTAACTGTGGTAAAACCTTTCCCTCTGCAAACAAATCAACAATGATTGCTGCAATTTGTTGAACAGAAAGAAGTTGGCAGTTATATGATCAGGACGACACAAAACATATATTCTTCAGCATTCGTAATGTGCAGGCATCTATATACTGTGAGTCCATAACATTCGTAGGACACTTGTCAACTCAAATAAAATGAAAGAGGAGATATATTCCACCAAAGACAAGTGGTGATACATTTAAATCTCAAACATCAACACATGATAACATATATATATATATATATATATATATATATATATATACTGTTTTTATGTATGTATATAAAGTTTTACCAGCATATCCTCCAGAAATAGCAGCACGCGGAGAAAATACATCCCCAATGTGAATATTAAGTACTCCACCATCCGTAGTGTGCTTCTCGAGATCACACAGCCCAAGATAGTCTCTTGATTTATCTATTAACTGGCACCAAGTAAAAGCATCAATTAGAAAACGAAAAAAAAAAAAATTCGAGTATTTTGGATCAAATATCATTGATAAACATCCACAAAATGGGGCAGCAATATTTAACCGAATAAGTAAGTAGGAAAATACAATTCCATCTATCTCCCAGCCTTCGAGCTGCAGTGAAGGCCATAAATGAAGCATCAAATGTGCAGCTGTTCCTCCACCCTGAAATTAATTATTTTCCACGTGATTAGTCTAAGCTACTAAAAAAGTGGAGTTTTTGTCAGTCGATTAGTTCGAAAAACAAAGGGATGGCCAAAACTAATTAAACAAAAGAACCGCCTTAGCAAGAAGAGTTGTATTACCAAGCCAAAAATAGCCATAGGACCCGGTGGAACCACAGGCGGCAATGTAGCAAACTCATCCTGCACAAGTGAAGTAGATCACAAATACCACTTTAATCGAGGAGGACTAGCCAAATATTTCATATTATATTTTGGCAGAAAAGACGGCGTAGCGTACCCAATATGAACCAGTCCATTTACTAATTGATTTGTTAAGCATGCTGTGAACATTATCTGCACGCACCCAGCAGGGTTGAGGAAAAGAAAAAAAAATGAAGGAGAAAGGGGAGTAGTGATTTCCATACGAGTGGAGTCGAGGAGAAGAAGCGTTGATTTGGGAGTGTCAATAATTACGATTTTGTTGTAAGTGGTTTGAACGGCCGTGAGGACTTGGAATTCTTCGTCTTCTTCATCTGGTTTAGTATTATTATTATGGGAAGAATCTGCTTCACCAGAGTGCAACAAAGCTTTCACATGTTTGATGCTTCTCTTGTGAGCAGCAGCGGCAACAGTAGAATGATAACGTCTTTCATTTGGTGCTGGTGAAGAATAGCAGCAAATTGGAGGAGGAGGAGGCAACCGCAGTTGAAAAAGGGAGACCACCATCATCATGCGCCGGAGATTTGATCTGCAGTTGATTCTCAAAACTCAATGGATGGATATAATAAAACTGAAAACATGATCCGTATGAAATTCGGCAACTTATCTTAATTAGTAACTCTTCTAGACAAACGACGTCATCCTCCATTCCCCAAATTACTATCAAATCCCTAATTAAGCTGGAGGCGATTGTACTGTTAAATAAGCTTTGATTCCAAAAACTCAGGCAATGTTTGGAAGCGTTTTGGATCTTATTTTGATTTCATTTTGAGGAAATATGTTTTTGGGGAATAATTTGAGAATGAATGTAATGTTTGTTTGTATTTTAGAAGGAGACAAAATACACTGTAGCAGTCAAATCATGTTTAAAGGTGTTAGAAAAATGTACTTTTGAAGAAAAAATTTGAAAGGTGAAGTGGTATTTATTTATTTTTTAGTGAAGACATTTTTTACTGTAGCAGTCAAATCATTTTACTGCAGCAGTCACATCATGTCTGAAGGAGAAAGAAACTTTTGAAATTGTTTTGAGAAAATAATTTGAAAAGTGTAATAAATCCCATTTTGTTTTGGGGAAACAACGAAAACAAAATAAAAACGGCTCCAAACATTGCCTCAAATTCCTCTATGGAATCACACTCTGAATTGAAGGAAAAATATGGTATGCGGCTGAAATTGATGCACCCTCTTCAGAGGTTTCGATGGTGGAAGGTTTGTCCCTTGCAGCATTGTCATATTTCCACCAAATTGGTTGCTCCCACCTCTATAATTCACCCCGCGCGTATTGATTGATTGCGGCAAAAAAATAACCACCAGCCGACAGAACAACTGGCGGCGATTGGCTGACTGTCAAATTTTGAGACTGGATCGCCGGCGAAAAACCCCTAATTTTGTTGCCTTGTGATGGTGAAGGGGCATATTGAATTAAAAGATTTTTTTAATGTAATTAGCAGAGATGGGAGTGGTGGTGGTGGTGGTGGTGCAATAATTTAGTAAGTTCAGGCAATTTGTTTCCATGTTTCCGGTCAGGGGTAAAATGCAAAAGAGTCCGAAATTCAGGGGGTAAAATGCAGTTAACCCAAAAATAAATTACTCAACGAATAATGAGTTGAAAGTTGAAACATTTTGAAGGCGTTGGTTGAAATCTGAGTATCGCCCCACTTTCCATATATTTTATTTTTTTAACCAAAAAAGGAGAAACAAAAAGGTCAACAAATGAGTCATCAAATCATTATCCACCAATCGAAATGTCTGGTTATGAACAACGCCGCCCACTACTCCCTTTGAAGACCCGCCTCACTGTCTTCTTACTAGGTGCCATCACCGACGCCTCCCTTCGCCGCGACGGAACCGTCAACCGCCGCTATTTCCGTTTCCTCGATTCCATCGGTTTCAAAAAGTCTTCCGATCTCAAGCCCCGCGAAGGCGTCATAACCTCTGACATCACTGTAGACCCCTCTCGCAACCTCTGGTTCCGACTCTACATCCCTCAATCCCAATCTGGATCTCAATTATCATCCCAATCTGGATCTCAACCCGTCGTCGTCTTCTTCCACGGCGGCGGCTTCGTCTTTCTCTACCCCGATTTTAAGGTCTACGACGACGTCTGCCGCCGTTTCGCACGCGACCTCCCCGCCGTTGTTGTCTCCGTCAACTACCGTCTGGCACCTGAGCACCCGTACCCGGCTCAATACGACGACGGATTTGACGTCCTCAAGTTTCTCGACGATCATAAGCATATCCTGCCTGAAAATGCCGATATATCCCGTTGTTTTCTGGCCGGTGACAGTGCCGGAGCTAATCTATCCCATCACGTTGCTAAACGTGCTTGCCAATCGGAGTTTACTCGCCTCAAGGCAACTTCTTATATATATATATATATATATATATATATATATATATATATATATATATATATATATATATATATATATATATATATATATATATATATATATATATATATATATATATATATATATATATATATATATATATATATATATATATATATATATATATATATATATATATATATATATATATAATACATATATCTTTCTATCTAGTCTATTTTAAGTGCTCTTAGATTTGAATTGATTAGACATGTATCATACAAAATAGTCTATTTTAAGTAGTCTTGTGTTTGAGACAAAAATTTAGAATAAAGTAATTGCCTGTTTAAGCATCACAAATGATCTTTGGAATTAAGTAGTTATAATCTATATTCAATTTCACTAACCATATACAATTGGTTAGATATAAGTACGCACTACTATATATTATATATAATATATATGTTGCTGAATGCTTGTATATAGTTAATTAGTGTGTGAACATAATATTAATATATGTTGTTGATCATAATTGAAGGTAGTGGGAGTGGTGTCCATACAGCCATTTTTCGGAGGAGAAGAACGTAGCAAGTCAGAGATAGAACTAGCAGGGATTGATGTAATCGTGACAACCAAGAGAACCGATTGGATGTGGAAAGCGTTCATGATGCCGCCAGCAGCTGATGATGATCATAATCCAATAATAATAATGGACCGTGACCACGAGGTGATCAATGTTAGCGGGCCTAATGCCGACCCCAACCTACCCAATTTGGAAGATTTTCCCGCGACAATGGTGGTGGTGGCCGGATTTGATTCACTCAAAGACTGGCAAACCAGGTACTATGAGTGGTTGAAGAAATCCGGCAAAGAGGCATATCTGGTGGAGTATCCGAACATGATTCATGGTTTCTACATTTTCCCCGAACTTGCAGAATCAGGGCAGCTCATTTCTGATACCAAACACTTCATCCACACCCAGTGTTCCAAGCTTCTCAACTAGCTACCTACACTAGTAATCATCATCATCATCATCATCATCACACACACACATAATCCAGCACAGCTCCATCAATCTTATAGTGTACTACTTGTGTGCTTACCTTATTTCATGATTGATCTATGTTCCAGAAAAGGAAATATATATTTTAGTTGTAACTTGTAAGCTAAGGTGTTAAAAATTTCTGCAGAATTCAAATTTCTTTTCTTATTTATGAATTTGTTAATAAAAAAAATCTGGAATAACATTAAATGTAATTCTGATTTTCTAAAAATAAGAAAACATCGTAAGAAACAAAATTTGATGTCTGGTGATTGAAAAATAAAAAAATATAATTCAACGAACACTAAAATATAAAACCTGCAATAGATGTTCTCTTCTCAAAACTAGAATTTTGGCCCCTGCAATGCACGAGATTGAAGTAAAATTAATACAAAGTAAATTAATACAAAGTAAAGTTCAATTTAAACGATAAAATTGAAGTTTCATTTCATTTTGATATTTTGCTATATATATTGATAATAATCCCCATCCATAAATTTTTTTTGCCATATTTATCAATTTAACTTTATATTTTTGATGTAATATGGTTGTATATTTACCTTATCTCAGATCATGTTGAAGTTTGATGAATCTTCTTCTTTATAACCCAGTAAATTTATTGTAAATCAATGATACCATTAAATCTCAAGAGTTTATAAGGAATAACTTTACTGTTATTAATAAGATAAGAACCAAATATTTTTCTAAACAATTTAATAATTTTTCCATCAAATTAATGTTAAGTAAAAATGACAATTTTGATAAAAATAAATAATTAAATAAATAAATGAAAATTATAACAATCAAATGAGCGGGAAAAATTTCCTACAATTTAGCACGAGCAACCTTACTTTTACTAATAAGATACAAACGAACACTATTTTATTTTTAAATTCTTCACAAAAACCAATTGTCCAAAAAATAAAAAAAATGTAAATGCAAACCCGAAAGTTGAGCCAACGTATTTTTATGAATTTATATCGTTAAAAAAAAAGCAAAGAGGGTAAATTTAAAAAGAAATAAATGTATAATTATGATTTTGAGAAGAATATATAATCATTTAGCAAACATATTTTATTATTTTAATGAATACAAATTGAAAATGAAACCAAACAAAAAATTGAAGAACTATAAACACACACTGCAAAGCGAATGGCACTGGAATTCCAGCACCCAAAAAACAAGAACAATCATGTCATGTCATGTGGGGGAATAAAAATGGTGTGAAAGCTAAAAAAGGTGTGCTTTGCTGTACTAGCCTGAAAAGGGTTAATAGACAGACAGAAGAGATTTTGAATAATTGTTTGTGTATGTATTGTGGAAAGGAAAGTTTATCACTCCCGACGCAGCCGCTATTCACTTCGCCCACCACCAACCGCCGCCAACTTCGCTACATTCATCACCCCTACTCTGTTTTCTACTACATTTGCAAACAAACTCTCCCGAACAAACCCTCATGGGGGACCCGCATCCATTGCTCTGCGCCTGACATTTTTAAGCAACATTTAACCTAGAAACTAAACCAGATCTGCATTTTCCGGGTAAATTCTTCTTCTCCTTTTGTTTTTTTGAATTTCTACTTCATGACTGTCCTACACTCATCTAACAGTTTCATTTAATTTTATTTCTCCACTTGGTTTTTAGGTCATTTACTTTAGTTTTCTTCCATGGATAATTCGTTGGCCAGTGGGCTTCGTTTTCGAAGGATTCCACGCCAGTCCTTTGCTAATTGCTTTCAGATGGACCCGCTGGTGAGTTCTGTGTTCCTTATATATCGGGTGTTTGCTTGTAGATAGTTGAATATGCATCTCTAACAAGAAGCTTTTCTCTGGCATTTTCCAGTTCCTTATTAATCAGCCGATGGGGGTTTTCTTTTGTTTGTTGTTACTATATTGCAGCTTGACGAAAACTTGGAGCAGTGGCCACATTTAAATGAGCTAGTTCAGAGCTATGGGGCTGACTGGGTTAGAGATGAACACAAGTATGGCCACTATGAAAGCACTGGCCCCGTCACATTTCACAATCAGATATTCGAGGGGCCGGATACTGATATGGAAACGGGTTAGTAGAGAAGATCACTTATTTTTCTATTCGTTTATCTGGACAAACATTTGAAGTAAAAATCCACATGTTATTATTTGTTCTAATCCTCTTGCTGGCCAGTATTGCAACCATATATATCTACATTTCCTTTTTCTCTTTTAATTAGCTTTGAGTCCACATTTTACCAAAGGGTCTTCACATGATTATTCCCAATATCACTGTTTGGCAGAATCCATCCGTTGATAAGAACAGAGTCCATCCTTTGTATTGTACTGGTGCGAGTTGTTGCAATAATGAAATCACAAAATCCTCCTTTTACAGAAATTATACTTCTGAAACAATTAAGCCCTATTATAAGGCCAATCAAAAAAAAAATCCTTCTGAAACAATTACCCCAACTCTGCCACTTTACTTTGCCTTTTCTCATATCTATCAATGCTAGGGAATGTGTACATTACTCAAGGATTCTTTTCTCACCACTTTGTAGAAATGGAGTTGGCTAATGCGAGAAGAACTAAGCTACGAGATTCAACTGAAGAAGAAATGGCAAGTACATCTGGGAGTCATTTTTCAGGACCAAATTATTATGATTCATCAACTGCAGAGATTTTGAAGCTCCGTGTATGATTTTTTTTTACCAGAATCTTTGTGCCTAGCATTTCTTAAAAGTTGTAACTTATTGACGTTATTATAAACGGCTTGCAGCATCTTGGACAATCTCCCCTGCCGGCATATGAACCTGTTTTTGACTGGGACAATGAGAGATCAACAATATTTGGCCAACGAATCCCCGCTACTAACATATTTCAGTATACCAGGTCTCTCTAACTCAATGAATGTGTGTGCATAAGTTGCATCTAGCATATATTTTTCTTCTAATTGCATCTTCCCTCATGCTCTACTTTCTTCCCTCTCTCTTTGATATATTGGTTTGTCTTTGTAGTGGGCTGAGGATTGCCGTGAAAGTGCTATCTTTGTCATTTCAAGCTGGGTTTGTCGGTGAGTTTGTATTTCAGTGGAGTGACATGGCATTACTACTGTCCTGTTATGTATTTATTTTTTTCTTTGGGGCTCTTTGAGCTTCAAACTATTTCTGAATCTGAAATACAGAAGTTTTCGTGTAGAGCCATTTTATGGCACAATTTGTCTATATAATAGGGAGAGAAGGGAAAAACTTTCAGAGGATTTCAATTTTCACATGTTACCAGCTGATGTGCAAGAGGTAAGTTCATGTTTTTCCGGTTCTTGTTTTTGATCATTTTGTTATGTCGTGTTATATTTTCACATAATTTAAATGAAGTACGAGATTGGCTCATTGCATGTCCAATTAACAGACAAGCAATTCTGTTGAGGCTCGTGGAATTTTCCGTGTAGATGTACCATCAGCATCAGTTTGTTTGCTTATCCAGTTGGAAAAGCCTGCCACTGAGGAAGGTGGAGTGACTTCATCTGTTTATTCACGTAAAGAACCAGTAAGCACCACCACATCTGTTAGCTCAAGCTGATTATTGCCATTTCTCAATAAGATGATTAAAAAAAAATGCTTTAAATGAAAAAGAGGGCAACAACTTTAGAACTTGTAATGAGCTTAAATGTATTACTTCGTGTTATTTTTTATTGGCATGAAAGACAGGAAAAATGGTATGTTCTTTAATTGTAAATATAATGAGTTTTTTTGAACTTCCTATGTCTGCTCCGGATTGATAGAACTGTTATAGCGTTATTTTCCAATAAACTTTGTAATTAAATGCAAAGTTGTTGTATTCACTTTTGCTCTTTGCCTTTTGTTTCTCAATGGCAAACAGGTTCATCTTACTGAGAGGGAGAAACAAAAACTACAAGTTTGGTCCCGAATCATGCCTTACAGGGAGCCCTTTGCCTGGGCAATCATCCCACTTTTCGATAGTGGTGTTACTTCTTCGTCTGGTGGGTCTAGTTCTCCCAGCAGTCCACTCATTACTAGTATTTCAGGTTCGATTCAAGAGGGTGCTGCTGAACCAGTTGCAAAGATCACATTGGATGGGAAGCTCGGATATTCTGGTGGAAACTCCGTTGTAGTTGAAGTGTCAAATCTGAGCAAAGTCAAAGAAGGCTATACTGAGGAGTCACTCCTGGTTACATCTCACTCTCACTAACCCCAACCTTTGCTAAAAAAGCTAATCTCTAATTTTATTGTCTCATTTCATCTCTAAGAGAAATATGCCAAAATAGTCCAAACGTGTTGGAATGAAATATTGTTCAATCCATAAACACACTTTTCCATAAACACAACCTCTAACTTTTCACTTCACTTCTATTGTTCTAATGTTATGATGTTTCAATATTTTTTCTCGGCTTGTTAGAGAAAAGAATTATGCATTGATTTCTTTGGGAGAGAGTAATTTTTTCTTAGGTTTTCAAATAAATATACATTGCCAAGAAAAGAAAAAGGTTAATTGGGTAAATCTGGAAAACCATAGAATCCAACCCCGACTGGTCTGAAGTTTTAACTAAATGAAACTCACCTCTCTCTTGGGAGGGGCATCAACAGTTGGGTGTTCCATTCTTGCTGCTATTACAGTCTTTACTTTGAGACTCAACACAATGTTTTGATTGTTTGTTTCTCATGGAACTGACTGATGTTGTCTTACTGTTAGGATCCTAAGCGAAAGGTTCATAAACCAGTTAAAGGTATCTTAAGACTGGAGATTGAAAAGCTCCAATCTGGCCAAGTTGATTCTGAAAAATCTTTTGAAACCAGAAGTATAAACAGTGATTTGGCTGGTCATCACAATGCGTCTGATACCACCTTCACAAAATCTCCCAGTTACAGAACTGATGGAAGGCAGAATGCTGATTTGGATTCACATTCCTCTGAAAAGATAGAGCTGGAGCGGAACGGATCAATAACTCACGGTTTGACAGATCGCGTCAGTAATGATGTAAGCATCAGTTCAATGCTTTATAAAAATTCATTACTGTAATTTGTTAGAGATTCATGTCAGTAGCTGCAAATATCAAAATATGGAGGAAATTGCTCTCTTGTGATTGATTTCCTTTATACGTGAAAGCTTGTTAGCGGTTTTTGCTTATCTAATTTCTTTCTGTTAATATTTCTTATATTGCACCCTCAGGTTGAGCCATATTTTTCTTTTTACAGTTCCAGGCTTTTGACTTTCGGATAACTTCGAGGAATGAGCCTTTCTTGCAGCTTTTTCATTGTCTTTATGTGTATCCTTTGAGTGTAAGCATGAGTAGAAAAAGAAATTTGTTTATACGAGTTGAGCTGAGAAAGGATGATGGAGATATCCGCAGACCACCACTGGAGGTAAATTTATATAACATATTGTTGAAACAGTTTGATTTGTGAAAAAAGATCTGTAGTATATAGTTTGCTTCAGGCAATGCATCCGAGGGAACCAGACTCCACATTTCAGAAATGGACACATACTCAAGTTGCTGTTGGATCTAGAGTTGCCTGCTACCATGATGAAATTAAGGTTTCGCTGCCTGCCATTTGGACCCCGATGCATCACCTTTTGTTCACTTTCTTTCATGTTGACCTTCAAACGAAAATTGAAGCTCCAAAGCCCGTAAGTGCTTTTTTCATTATTATTGAGGCAATATATCTAGCATCTCTACCCTTTTTTACCTTTTAGACCTTGTTTGGTTGCCACGATTAACTAAGTAGTAGTAGTTAGTAACATGTTCCGTTGACACGAATCAAACTATTCATCCCCGCGATAAAAGCTGAAGCCCACAATTAAATGTTATTATTCAAGAAAATTAGTAGCTACCCCAGCACATGCAATTAATTTTGTAAGTAGTTACAAAAATGGAAAAGACGATTTTATCGTAAAAATAAAATGATACAAATTAGGTTATTATTCTTGTTAAATGAGGGATGTTATTGGAAAACACATTTGAAACCAGATTTTAACAGTTCTGATACTAGATCTAATACAAGGAACCAAACTACTTAGTAACTGAGTAGTTAGCCAAAATAGAGAACTAATACAATCCAGTCTTATCCAAATTAATTCAATCCATGTAAACCGAACGAGGAGTAAACCAGCAAAGCCAACATATTTTAGATGTCTTCTACTTCAGCATCTGTCCACCTACTTCAATTTCTTGTGTAACTCTATTTCTGTTTTTGTACCTCTCTTACCATGTCTTCTCATTGGAAGCTACTTTTCAAATCATTGCAGGTGGTTGTAGGATATGCATCACTTCCTTTATCCACTCATGCGCAGTATGTAATTGCCATTCTCTGGTCTTATGTATATCATTTTAGAAAGATAAACTTGTCTCTTTCTTGTTGCTTATAAATCATGATGCTGCTACTCTGCTTTAATTGATAACAGTGTATCATAAACTTGCGTGCAATAACTTACCACATTATGAACATATAACAACCACTTTAGTATTGCATCAGTTTATTTTAAAGCAGTTGATACGATAGTCTATTATGTGGTCGAATACAAGTGCTTTGTTTTGCATGATATACACTGATTCAAATAAATTGCAAATCTCAAATGTGATCATAAACTTTATATTGTCAGATTGGTATTTGTAAGTTACTAAGCCTGTTTTATGGCAGCAGTCATGTCTTATGATTTGAGTGTTGGAGACAAATGTATAAACAAACAAAAATGATAATCTTTAGAATATGATGTTTCAAATTGATTATTCAAACTGATAAACCACTGACTGCATGATTCAAGAGTGATTAGTCCTCTTAAAATGAACTTCTTAATTCTAAGGTTGGCGTTCAAGACACTCAAATGCCCAATATAATGAATTGGTTAGAGGAGGAAGAGAGATGGGGTTACCTTTGTTAATTGTGTTTTCGCGGTCATGCAGACATCATATTATTAGTTAGAGTGATACTGATTGTCGTGAAAAAGAAGTATTGATGCATGATATATTTGAATTCATTATTTAATTAGGCTTTGGATTACTTATATGAGGTTAATCTTATTAATTTGGGCTGATTTCGCAATTAGGGAACCAAGAATAAGTATATCTTATTTAATTAATAGAATACTAATATATAAAGATAAAAGAGTATACAAAAATTTTGGGACCCTATAATTATGTTCAAAATTGGGGATCCAACCTTTGTCGCCGACCCTCAGAACAAACAGTGGCTTTGATACCATAGAACAACAACTGAAAGACATGCTGGTTTACATACTATTTATTTTTTCATGTCATGCAAAGACTAGGATTGCATATTATTTTTTTTAATTTGTACTCAATTTTTCTTAAGATGAGACTAAACATATAACTATAGATTGCATCATGTATTCAATTTTTATTGCTTTATTGCAGGTTGAAATCAGATATTTCACTGCCCCTGATGAGAGAGTTGGTTCCACATTATCTACAAGATAGCAGGGTATGCTGACAACAACTTGAATTTGTTTATCCGTGTCAGTAATTTCTATTTTGCTTTTCATAAGCCATGCAACACCTTCAGCATGTTTTCATCAGTGACTAAAACTAGTTATTCTTGGTAGTAATCGTGTCATTCTGTCATCAAGTTAATTGCCCAGAGAGTTGAATCTACCCTGTTTCAGTTCTACCTGTTAACATTTAGACTAAGTTGATGTCAACTTCTTGAAGTTAAACGAGCCACTTAGAATCCTATTAGTGGCCCATTCTTTCCATGCATGGGCAGATTGGCGTTCATGACGGCTGATTTAATTTCATGCGTGGCTTCTGTTGTTGAATTTCATTTAGTAGAATAATATTGTCAGTTTATAAGCCAATTTAGCAACACCAACATTATTTCTACGTCAATTTCTTAGTTGTCTCCCACTGTTTTGCAGGAGAGGGTAGAGTACTTGGAGGATGGAAAAAATGTATTTAGGCTCCGGCTACGTTTATGTTCATCAGTGTACGCAATAAGTGAGCGTATCAGAGACTTTTTCCTTGAGTACGACAGGCACATTCTCCGAACAAGTCCACCTTGGGGATCTGAGCTTCTTGAGGTTAATTTGTGACTCTAATGTTCAATTTTTCTTTGTTGAGAAAATGGCCTAAAGATATACATCTAGCTATCTTTCATGTATGCCACCGCGTTCATATGCCTTTTATTTTATTGTGCTTCTTAAAACTTAATAAATGACTTTCTTTACACTAGTTATTAAACTCAATACTAAATACCCCTATGTAACTAAATTGAGGATTTTGTGGAAGGTTTTCCTTTGTTCGGAAACACATTAAAGAGCCTTGGTTGTCTTTGTATCCTAGTTGAAGTTGCCTTGAATGTGTGCAAATTTATCTTCCTGTAAAAGGCACTGATGAGATTTCAGGAACAAGATTGTTTTCTCTGTAGAGATTGGCTTGATCCCTGAAATTATGAGAAATAATTTCTTTTCACATTCTTATTTATATCTGAATGATTGTTGATTGCCGTATAAATTATTTTACATGGAGTTGAATGTTGGATCTTCTATTATAAAAACTTGAGTTCTTCTGTGTTGCAGGCAATCAACAGTCTGAAGAATGTTGATTCAACAGCTTTGCTCCAGTTTCTTCAGCCAATCTTAAACATGCTTCTCCACCTCATTGGCAATGGTGGAGAGACTCTACAGGTGGATTCGTAGAAAATGACTAGATTTTTCTACTCTGTTTTCTCTCTAATCTGAGAAATGTTGCTGTATTTATTTCCTTGATGTGTTTTGTATTGGCCTCTAAAAGTAGTTTGGTTGCATAATATTTATTTGTCGTATTTATTCTGCCATTCAGGTTGCAGCCTTCAGAGCAATGGTTAATATCTTAACACGGTATGATTTGTGATTTTGCTCATATGCCCTCCAAATTGCTGCAAATTATTGCGACTTTTTGCTTTATATTTCACTTGCTTATGTAGCTAAACGGGTCAGCAGACGAACTGTTGTTGCATCACTCTGTTATATTGTGTAACAATGGCATCCAGGATCAAATTTTGTTAATACAGAGTTTTTTTTTTTTTGTTTTCTTTTCCACAGGGTGCAGCAAGAGTCCGTAGATGATGGTGAAAGAAATCTTTTCCTTGTAAACTACGTTGACTTTGCTTTCGATGATTTTGGGGGTCGTCAACCACCTGTCTACCCTGGTTTATCCACAGTGTGGGGAAGTTTGGCCCGCAGCAAGGTAAATTAAGTTTGAGATTTTTTAGGTCTTTGCTTTCAGTAGTACACCCTCGAAATAAACTAGGTTGAAGTAAAAATTGAAGTACTTCATGATTTCAGAGTCTATTCATACTCTATTAAGTACTCACGATGACACTCGATATCAATGTATTTTCCCTATAACCCTGTTGATTATAGTCTAATTATAATTATCAATTGGTGGTACATAGTTGGCAAAAATGAGGCAGACTGAGTGTGCATAGAACCTAAACAAATGTGAAATTTATGTGTATCACATGTTCCAAGTACTGTTAAGATATGAAATCAATCAATTATACTTTTAACGGTATCACTATTGTTGCATTTGAAACTAAAGTGTTTGTCGTGAACTAAATTTAAACTTGGTTAAGTGCTTGGAATTTTGATTCATACATATCTGGAAGGGTTCTAACTATTGAATTCTGATATACAAGTTTTCAGTTTTCACGTGCAATTGCAATATGGTATAATACATAAACCCATGTCCTTGTGTCATACATAAACCCATGTCCTTTTGTATTAGTGGTTGAAAATTAGAAAATTTATGAACTTGATCACTAAAACGTTCAAATTATCTGTGTAAGACCTTTGGCTTGTAATGGATCTTGGAGTATTAGGCTCGTGTCACCACGACCTAGTTCAAACTGTTCTGAGTGGCACTGCAACTTAGGGCGGACAGTTTGGTCGCCCGAGATATAAACTTTTCGCAATTAGTTAATCATTTCTTTACGATTATGTATTTTTGACATTTCATGTTGCGAATTATATATATATATATATATATATATATATATATATATATATATATATATATATATATATATATATTTGTTATGATATATGAAACTGATGCTCATTGCTTGTGTTTTCTTCTACCCCATTTTGAACTCAGGCCAAAGGTTACCGTGTTGGTCCAGTTTATGATGATGTACTGGCTATGGCTTGGTTTTTTCTTGAACTTATTGTCAAATCAATAGCATTAGAGCAGACTCGGTTGTTCTATCACAATCTTCCATCAGGTAATCTTGCCTTTGATCAAGCCTTGTATCTTACACTATTGCTGTCATCTCGTTATCTAATTATTTAGTCATCTGCGATTTGATGAACAATGTTCTATGTTCCCATAACAGTAACTTTCCGATACTGGTATAGTTGATAAATTTTTTCATTTAAGGTTAGAATAAAATTACAGGACTCCTGAAACTTATTCCATCTCGAGGACTATGTTATATTATGAGCCATTATTGGTTAATTGTTATATTTTGCAAATGAACATGTTTGTTACATTATAAGTATCAAAATATTTGTTTAAATGTGTTATTTAGTCATTGGATTAACTTCAAGTAAGAAGTCAATAAAAATGGTCCAATCTGGAACTATATCGACTACAACAATAAAAATGTACAAAACTATATTGACAACAGCAATTTTATTTTATACTTTCTTTTAAATTAAAGATCTTGATGTATCTCATATATGACATTGTGTGCTATATTCCAAATGATGCCAGGAAAATCAATATATTGATTTTACTAAATTTCATACCAAGTGATAATGGGGGATGTCTGCTACTAATAATTTTCATGATGTTTTCGGAAATTGTGATTTAATTCTGAATCCATATTTATATTTTTCTCTAAAAAAACATGGCCTTGTCAAACCGTGCAATTGTGTCCAAGTGCCATAATTATATCTTTAGATGTCAATGATATTGAAGTGACCAATCATATTAAATAGACTCGCAAATATCTTCTAACACGTTACAAATCCGGGACAAACCATTTGAAATCGACTTAGTTTTATGCGGCAGTTAAAGGAAGGTCGCTATACCACTTCCATTTTACTTGGATAAAATAGTGGTCAAGAATATGTTTTTATCACGTGTAATTCAACAAATATTTCTTTGGTTGAATGAATGCCTATGTTAAAAGAGGAGGAGGTATTTCCCTTAGAATCTAGGATGGTAATGGGGATATTCAACATTAGAGAGAGGATTATTGCTGAAGTTTGAAATTATTAGTGGTACCCAGAAGTCAATTTGAAAGGTTCAATAGCATGTTCTGCAATATCAGTGGATGGTGTACTAACCAATTTTATGACATTAGACATACTTGCTTAAATCAGTTTGATGTCATGGTCTAATGTGCTAAACGTAGAGTCTTCCCTTTTCCAATTTTTTTTGCAGGGGAAGATGTTCCTCCAATGCAGTTGAAAGAAGGTGTCTTTAGATGTATAATGCAATTGTACGATTGCCTTCTAACGGAAGTTCACGAGCGCTGTAAAAAAGGTCTAGGCTTGGCCAAGTATCTAAATAGTAGCTTGGCTTTCTTTTGTTACGATCTTTTGTCTACTATAGAGCCTCGCCAAGTTTTTGAACTGGTATGCTTACTACTTCTCTTGAATTACTGGACCGATACATTGTTCTCCATCTAACATTTCATTCTTCTTTATGTTTCATGTGCGAAACTGCTGTCATTTAAACTGTGAAGCACTCAAAAAATTTCTTGAAGGATAGTTTAGTCCACTCAAAATGTTTCAAGAAACTTATTGAGTGGAAAGTGTTATTTGACTCCTATATAATGTCATGTAACATATGTACTGGGTACATGTGTACTATAGGCAAGTCTTTTAGAATTCCTATGCTAATTAAGGTTAATTTGATGGAGGGCATAAGTTGTTTCGTTTATCAAATATTAACACATCATTTCAGCTTTAGATTATTGGATCTCTGACTAAAATGCCCATTTCAGCTTTTGTGTTTGGTACGGATTTTCCCGAGTCCAAATTCTCCTGAGTCCTGAGTCCAAATTTTGGACTGCACTGATTGCTTAGAACTAATATTTTCCTCTTTTATGTTTGTTCTTTTCTTTGTCTTGCAGTAAAATATTTGATATCTACCTTCCATTTTTCACTCCATCTTCTACAACTTACCGTTGGTTTGACTTTGAGTTCAACTGTTTTTATTGTTTATAGGTGTCTCTGTACCTTGATAAGTTCTCTGGTGTATGTCAATCGGTGCTGCATGATTGCAAGCTTACATTCTTGCAGATTTTATGTGATCATGATCTTTTTGTAGAAATGCCTGGAAGAGACCCTTCGGATAGGTAACATTTGGAACTTCCAATTATGTTGCATTGCTGTAGCCTCTTTGAAGTTTGATTGTCAGTATCATGTCATGCACAGTCATTGTCATTGTCGTATTACAGCAGCTTTATCAAGCCTGCTCTATTTTTGGTTTTTCATGTTTAAATGGCACAATACGCATCTGTTCAACTATTGTCAGATTCCAAAGTTCGACTTGGATCAAGATTCAAAAAAAGGATTCAATCTCAATTATTTCATATCTCGCTTCCATATGAAGAAATCAACTGAGTTTTAATTTCCATTGTTTAAGTTGAAAACTCCAACGTGTTATTTCCATATTCAACATGCGAGGAAGTGTTGATAATGTTAAACGAATTAGAACTGGATTATGAATGGACCATTTTTGAAATCTATGTATTTCTCACATGTATATTGACACACACACACACACAAACACACACACACACACACACACACACACATATGTATATATATATATATATATATATATATATATATATATATATATATATATGTGTGTGTGTGTGTGTGTGTGTGTGTGTGTGTGTGTGTGTGTATGTATGTATGTATGTATGTATGTATGTATGTGTACATATATGTATATATATATGTATATGTGTGTGTGGATGTCAAACTCATGTTAGCACTTGAATTAGAACTGAAGAAAGAAAGGAGAATACATATATCACACACACACACACATATGTTGAGGAAAATCCTAGAAAATTAATGTTGTGCATAAACAATCTAAACATTTCACAATTACTTGATCGGAAGTTCCTTTGAGGTGTGTGACTGACAAGTGAAATATAATCCTTGAAATAGTTCAATTGGGTGTCGTAATCCACATTTGAGTTGATTTATTTTATGCTCGTATTTGTTCAATTGCTTTTAGTTAAGTATTATCTTTATGCAACAGTTATACTCATTTTCCTTTGCGAATTATTCGAATGAGTTTCATTACTAAACAAATGTGTTTGGCATTACTTATCCTAATTGGGTTGACTTCCTTCTGCTGATTCAGATATATTTTCTGGTACTTTTTACATTACAGAAATTACCTTTCATCTATTCTTATACAAGAGATTTTCCTCACTTGGGACCACGAGGATTTATCCATGCGGGCAAAGGTGAGTGCAGTACCATTTAACGGCTAGACATATAAAGATCAGAGTTCTAAAGTGTATTGCTTTCTTAAGAAAAACTTCCTCATTGTTTCAGTTCACTCATGTTCTCTGAGAGGTTTTCCTGAATTCTTATGTATCCTTATTTGACTACTCTTAGGCAGCTAGAATGTTGGTGGTTCTATTGTGCAAGCATGAGTTTGACATCCGCTACCAAAAGCTGGAAGATAAACTTTATATAGCTCAATTATATTTTCCCCTTGTGGGCCAGGTATGCAATTTATTTGTGTTTCTCTATTGTTCACTATGCAAGTTCATACTGTTGATATTTTGTTAACAAGTAGGTTTTATGTGTTGGTAAAATATATATGTTATAAGAGTATTCTGCATGAGTTATTTTGTCTTTTTAGAAAGCGCAATTTTGAAAATTTTCTGTGGAAAGCTTTGTCATACTTTACATATCACATGGAATATTGGTTATCTCTAGAAGAGAAGTTTGATTTGTTGGAGATAAAATTTAGTTACTCAGGACTTTGTTGAAATCAAAATCAAAACGTAAAATCCCTCCGTCAATCCCAATAAGTGAGACGCAAATTCCTTCAATAATTAATCTCCATAACTATAAAATGTCATAATCCAATTTACCGAGATTATTGACTCAATAACTATCCCAATATAAAACCGTTGAAATCATAGTATAATTGTAGATTTTAAGGATTTTACTCCCAAACTTGAATGATTTTGTTTGGATTAGGATTCCAGTAGGATTTAACAAGGTAGATGGTAGTGTAAAGTCCTAGGATTTTAGTATTTTCATTGAGATTTTAACTACCTTGACTATTCTACTTGTATATTATAAGTGCCGGCAAGTTGATCTTCTATGTGTTAGCTGTACTCAACACACCACATAAATTCATTGCGTAAAAGCACGGCTTTTAAGCATTAACCCTAACAATAATTGGCTTTTAATAACTGTTAGTTTAAATAATGTATTGAAGAGTCATCTGTCCAGCGTAGTCGTTGAATTTCTTTTTCATAATTTTTGCAATACATGGAGAAATTATGACCTTTTTATTTGCTGCACATATTCCATTCTTTTCTTTTACTTAATTGTAGACGTTTGATTATGTTTTTATACTCTTGCAAATCCTTTCTCTCTTGATTTATTATAGCTTCTCTATCTTTCCCTTGGATTTAGAAATCTGTAATGTAAAGAAAAATGAACTTGAACATCGAGCTCATACTTTAATCTTCTATCTTTGCATAATATTAACTGATAACTTCTTTTCTCATTAAAAAGGGGCATTACAACTTGATAAGCAAGTACATGTGAATAACATAAATGGCGCCAACTAATTGTGTAAACATTCGTTGTTATGGTTTATGCCATATGCCTCGTTTCAAGACAGACTCGATTGCTCTTTACTTGTCTTTTTAATGCAATAGATTGTGAAAGATCCATTGTAGATGTAGAAAGGTAGTCTTACCTGTGATATCATGCTGCATTTACTTTCTGTTTTTATGTCAGTTGATCATATATTTTTGCATTCTTGCAGATGCTAGATGAAATGCCTGTCTTCTACAATCTGGGTTCAAGTGAAAAGCGTGAGGTCCTGATTACTATTTTGCAAATTATACGCAATCTGGATGATACCTCTCTTATCAAAGCTTGGCAGCAAAGCATTGCTCGTACCAGATTATTTTTCAAACTATTGGAGGAATGCCTAATTCATTTTGAGGTATATGGTTATATGCTTGTTGTGAGGAAATAATTCATCCCACTGTATTCGGAAAACAAAATGATAACAATAATACGTACACACACATAATTCTAGACTTAACTAGGAATATCAAATAGTATCCAAAAATAATAAGTTTAATTTGTTCTTATAAGAATTTGGCACATCATCTCTTTTGGGGTCGTTTATTTAGTGATTCTACGAGAAAGGCATGCGGACTCTCTTTTTAATTGGATTGTGGAACACCGGGTAGGACTGGCTTATGGGATCTTGCGCAATGTCCCTCTAGTTACTTGAATTTGATAGATCTATGATGTAGATACTGGTCCTTCTGTCTGTTGGTTTTTCTTATAGATAAATGGCATTGGAACTGAAGTATAATATCACCTAATTATCTAATACTATGTTTTCATGTACATTAGTTAAATCCTAGCAGTTGTTGCATTAGGTGGTGTCAATGGAATTATAGGATCTGATGCAACATTATAACAAATAAACGAGGTTTGCAAGCTATGGTAAATTTAACTTCATGTGCACTCTCAAGCCAATGCCACCTTAATATGTGATTCCTTTTATGTTCATGTGGTTCTGGTGTTCTAGATATCACGATTCTCCTGCTTGAAAATATATCTAATTTTAATCTAATGTCAATCGGCATATTGAGCAGCACAGAAAACCTGACGATAGCATGCTTATGGGCAGTAGTTCTCGCAGTCCTTTAGGAGATAAGCCCTTTCCATCAAAGTATTCCGATAGGCTTTCTCCTGCGATTAATCACTATCTTTTGGAGGCTGCACGCCAAGAAGTTGGAGTATGTGACACCATTTAGTCGTGCTTTTTCTGTGATATGTTTTAACAGCATCTTTAAGTGCTAATTATCCAAAAAATCTTAACTGATGCAGCCTCAGGGTACACCAGAGAATGGGTATTTGTGGCAAAGAGTCAACTCTCAACTAAGCTCTCCTAGTCAACCGTATTCCTTGAGGGAAGCTCTTGCTCAGGCCCAATCTTCAAGAATTGGAGCTTCAACCTTAGCATTAAGAGAATCGTTGCACCCAATCTTGAGGCAAAAGTTGGTATGTTGTTAGTTGTAGATAGATACCAAATAGTATGCAATTAGTTAACATCTTTATAGTTATAATGATTATTGATAGTGAAGATTCTGAAGAATTCTATAACATCTGATGCATCTATCTTGTTTCAGGAACTTTGGGAAGAAAACCTTAGTGCTGCTGTCAGTCTTCAAGTTTTGGAAATAATTGAGAAATTTTCAGGGGCTGTTGCATCCCACACCATTGCTACAGATTATGGAAAACTTGATTGCATTACCTCCATATTTATGATAGTCTTTTCGCACAACCAACCTCTGGCCTTTTGGAAAGCTCTCTTTCCTGTGTTCAATAGTGTGTTTGAGCTTCATGGAGCGACACTAATGGCGAGGGAAAATGACCGTTTTCTTAAGCAAATTGCTTTCCATCTTCTTAGACTTGCAGTTTTCCGAAATGTCAATGTTAGGAAGAGAGCCGTTATTGGGCTTCAGATACTTGTTCGGGTAGGCTTGTAACTGTAACTTGCTCAGTTCTTTTGATCTTGTATCTGATATTGCTGCAGCAAAATTAACTACATTTCATTTTGCAGAGTTCTTTCTCGTACTTTATGCAGACATCAAGACTGCGGGTTGTCCTAACTATTACACTGTCAGAGTTGATGTCTGAAGTGCAAGTTACACATATGAAATCTGATGGAACTCTAGAAGAAAGTGGTGAAGCATGTCGTCTTCGAAAATCTTTGGAGGAAATGGCAGATGAATCTGAGAGCCTTAATATATTTGAAGAGTTTGGTCTTCCAGAAAAACCTCTTGTTGCCAGTAATGAACAATCACCAGAGCACTGTTGTACCTGGTCAGAAGTTAAAGTCCTCTCTGATAGTCTTCTTTTGGCTCTTGATGCCAGCCTGGAACACGCACTTCTGGTATATCCTGACAATCCTGATATGTTGGTTTTGACATGTTTTGAAATTTTGGAAGTAGAACTGCTGTTAAAAAATGATATGACATTGTTTTAATGTTCTTTTAGGCCTCTGTCATGACGCTGGACAGATACTCTGCGGCGGAGAGCTTTTACAAACTTGCGATGGCATTTGCTCCAGTTCCGGATCTTCACATAATGTGGTTATTGCATCTATGTGATGCACATCAGGAGATGCAGTCTTGGGCTGAAGCAGCACAGTGTGCTGTTGCTGTTGCTGGCGTAGTGATGCAGGTAAGATTCTTCTATTTGTACGTCCATCAGTGGCTGCCGTCAAGCATTTAATTTGCTCTTTTGACAATATATGCGAAGATGGTTACCTTCATATCTAAATTGTAGATTAAAAAAAATGTCAAGAATTAAGGTTGAATCAAACAACTGTAAGTAGCATTACTGGATAGCATGTACACCAAAACAAAGATCCTAAAAATTTAATCTGTTGTGGGCTTCTTTAACAAGATTATATATGATTAGGTAATTCTGAACGAGGCATAAAGCTATTCAGGAATGGACCGGTTTATACTTCAGGAACCAATGGGTTTTAGGATAAATAGTAGCGCCTGAGGTCCTACATATTTTGCAATAGTATCCTTAGTGCAAGCTCGAGTACCTTTTCTTATAACTCATAAATTAAAATATGTTTTTAATAAATAAACAATCTAGAGTCATATTTTGTACATTAGTATTCAGTATTGACTGAAACTAAATAAATTTTGTTAAGGTTAATTTTGTCGAAGTCCAAGCATTAATTCAAATTTGATGCAGGAGTAAATGTTATCTTGACAAGTTCAGGGGTAAATGAGACTTAAGGTCAAATTTAGAGGATGGTACTATATTTTGGCATAATATATGGATTGATGTTGGACCTGTATCTGATTATTATAATACAAACCTTTCCATTTTGCTTGATCATGTCTTGTACTACTAGTAGGGCATACAGTAACAAATATGGACTGTAACTTTCAAATACTCCGTCATTATTTTATTCAGGTTAATCTTGTCCAAGTCCAACCATTAATTCTGTTGACGTGCCCCATTTTTCCAGGCTCTTGTTTTTAGGAATGACGGAGTATGGAGCTCTGATCACGTGTGTGCGCTGCGCAAAATCTGCCCCATGGTCAGTGGCGAGATCAGTTCTGAGGCTTCAGCAGCTGAGGTTGAAGGATATGGTGCTTCAAAACTTACGGTTGACTCGGCAGTCAAGTACTTGCAACTTGCAAATAAGCTTTTCTCTCAAGCTGAGCTCCACCATTTCTGTGCCAGTATCCTAGAACTTGTTATTCCTGTGTATAAGAGCAGAAGGGCGTACGGGCAGCTGGCCAAGTGCCACACGATGCTGACTAATATATACGAGTCAATTCTTGAGCAGGAATCCAGTCCCATACCTTTTGCAGATGCAACATACTATAGGGTGGGATTCTATGGTGAAAAATTTGGGAAGCTGAACAGGAAGGAGTATGTATATAGAGAGGCTCGGGATGTAAGGTTGGGTGATATAATGGAGAAGCTAAGTCATATATATGAGTCGAGATTGGATGGTACAACTTTGCACGTAATACCAGACTCGAGACAGGTGAAAGCCGATGAACTGCAGGCAGAAGCGTGCTACCTGCAGATAACTGCAGTTGATCCAGTTATGGAAGACGAGGACTTGGGAAGCAGAAGAGAGAGAATATTCTCACTTTCTACTGGGAGTGTTCGCGCTCGGGTTTTTGACCGATTTTTGTTTGATACACCTTTCACAAAAAATGGGAAGACTCAAGGTGGATTGGAAGACCAATGGAAGCGCCGTTCGGTGCTGCAGACAGAGGGTTCTTTCCCTGCTTTGGTAAATCGTCTGGAGGTAATGAAATCAGAATCACTAGAGTTCTCTCCAGTTGAGAATGCAATTGGGATGATTGAAACTAGGACAGCTGCTCTTAGAAATGAACTTGAAGAACCTCGCAGCTCCGAAGGTGATCAACTTCCTCGTCTCCAGAGCCTGCAGAGGATACTTCAAGGCTCTGTCGCTGTTCAGGTGAGCGAGCCTGCGTACATCGTTGTTATCAATATCAATACCAATATCAACATCATTGTTTTTTGTTTTTTGGAATTTGATATATTTCTTTTTAACAGGTGAACAGTGGAGTACTGAGTGTTTGTACGGCATTTCTTTCTGGTGAACCAGCAACAAGGCTGCGTTCGCAAGAGCTTCAACAACTGATTGCAGCACTCCTTGAGTTCATGGCCGTTTGCAAGCGTGCTATACGTGTCCACTTTCGATTAATTGGAGATGAAGATCAGGAATTTCACACCCAGCTCGTCAACGGCTTTCAATCACTAACTGCAGAATTGTCCCATTACATCCCTGCCATTCTTTCTGAACTTTGACATCAAAACATTATTCTTCTTTTCTACGTTTCCTTTTATATCACTAGTGGTTTGGCTTTTAGAGTGACCGCATATTTTGTGCTTTATTTAACTCATGTATTGTTTGTATTTGTCTTGTGTTTATTTGTATTTTTCATCTGTGTTTGTACCATATACTTTTAACCTATTTTGGTTAATCTAAATCCAATTACATATGTTGCAGAGCTCTCTCATTTCAGTAAAAGAATCCAAACTAATACAATAAGGGTAAAATTTACAACCAACCTTTCTAGAGTTGACTGTACAAGTTCCCACTCACACAAACCCGACTTCAAGGCAGAAGATTACCAAGTACATCTAAGTAATTCAAATTTATGCACTAGAACAATGTAGATGAGTTAAACTAAGTTGTGCAATTAGCAGAATTAGTATCTCAACTTGGGCCGTATCATGATCACCCCAGCCCTAGTCTCATCAAAATGGTACCTGCAGTGCAGATCGAGAACATATCAAAAGTCTCAGTCACGTATTTGTTGCACCACATACATGAATACAACCAATTAAAAAACTTCGACATTAAACATTGAAGAAAAGAGAAACTTAACCTATTCTCAGTGAGAAAGCTTCTGATAGCTGATGGTAGTGCAGCTTCTCCCCTGCTATGGTTACCCTTTCCTGTCACAAATGCAACATATATGAATCTGTGTCCAAAAATATTCCTTACTTTAAAGCCATATACATATAGATAGTCTTTTTCCAATCTACAAGTCAAAGAGATATCACCAAGCAACACACTTACTTTGTCAGGCCATTTATTTCAGTCTATCCACATAAACTCTATACTGTTGTATTTGAAAAATATGTGACGGCAACATGTTTATAATTCGCGTAAAAAAAACGTGCTTGTAATATTGACATACTAATAATAGTATGTGGCGGCATATATTTACTGGACTGGCCTCATCCACAGGATTTTCTTTTAGGAAAAATATGTCATACCTGTTATGACTTGTAATAACATTGGCCTGTGCCTAGATGAGGGATGGTGCCTCCCAAAATTTTCCATCTTAAATGAAGTATTAGATTGCACAGATGCAGCAACTGACAAGCCTGATTCCTTGTGGACTCCATTTGATGTCGCTAAGTAATTTGTTTTTTTCACAAGATTTTCAACATTTTGTAAACGTTCACGCAATGCTTCAACTGCTTCGGCTGAGTGAAGACCATGCAAATCCAATGTCCATGGATCATTTTTATGATTCCTGAGAGTCAGGATTTCCTTGGCTGCTTTGGCGTTAAGCTTCTCAGCATCAGTCCAATCTTCCTGCGCTTTAAGTGAGAAACGAAGCGCGGATGTATGGTCGCCTCTTAAATATGCATCATTTGCAGCTTTAGAATGACGAGAAGCTGATCTAATCATACAACGAGCAAAGTTTTAGGAGAGAAGATGCCAATGAGAAAATTTTCCAGCAGTAGACATAGACAATAAATATATTATACATACCTTGTCATCCTTATTGCATCTTTTCGATAAATTAGATAAACATCATCTTGTTCAAACTCAAACTCGGGTTCAATGGGCAAAGACTTGGCAGCATCCAGTAATTGCACGGAAGGTCGTGACTCATCCTCCTTAATATCGTTGGAGGAAATGCTCATATCTGCAGATGATTCTCCTGTAAAATGATTCGTGCTCGACTCAAGTTGGTTGGTGTTGGCATCAGAGATGAGCATTGCTTGCAGTAAAGATAAAGCCTCATCAATATTGTTATTAACACCAGCCAAGACATCCAGAATCAAGGTTTCTTCCGCCCACGAATGAAGAAACTTAAGCTTCTGATAAGCCTTATTAACTGTGACAGGAATCGAATTATTGGTAGGTGGTACAACTGGTGTTTGAAAGTTTCTGTTTTGGGTATCAAGTAAGGAAGGGAAATTCATTGAATCTACAACAACAGAAGAAAAGGGCTTCTTCTCTAATAATACTCCATTTTTGTTAAGTAAGCTTTGTGGGACGACAGGTGGGCCTGATAACAAGGGATACGCCGCAGACTCAGAATCATCTGCAGATTCAATATTCAGCTGTTTCCGTCTTTGACTAAGGTCAAAAGCCCTCCAACCGGAGCTACTTTTAGCTTTAGCCCTATTCCCACCCCCAGGGCTTTCACTGGTGGAGGCGCTCATATATCTTAAGCGGCGGCGCCCCCCACCCCCCAAAAAAAAATAATAAATTAGCCGGATATCTGCTAACTTAACTTAAAATTCCGCCTTAAGATAAAATTGAGCAATGAGGAATTTTAACAAGGAAAAGGAAAAAAAATTGGGGACAAAAGAAGATAGAATATTTAAACCTATTGGGGATCGGTAAGACGGGATTGGCGTATCGAGAGGAGGGGGATTGTGCGAATTGAGATGATATAATCCGACGGAGATCGAGGCGTAACAGGTGGTGTGGCGGCGGCGATGGAAGGGGAATCGAATCTGAAATCCATAAAGCCCACGAATGGTTGAGAAGACGGAGGGAGGAGGATGTATTGTCGGATAAGTGATAACGGAAGGTAAAAAAAGACTTGATCTTTCTGACGCCTATTTTTTACTTGTATATATAGCCTAGGTACGGCCATCTTAATTTCTTTATTTCTTTTCAACATAAAATTTGTCAAAAGGATTTTATTCATTATTCACAAATAAATTCATTTTTTTTCCAAATTTAAAATTTTAATTTTTTAAATTGTCAAGTTAGTTTCGATAATATTCGACACATAAGAATTGTTCATTTAGCGTACAATCTCATTTTTTCTTTCTTCCTTTTGTATTCGAATTCCTAAAAACTAACCGTAAACAATAATCAGAAACGTAAACCGTAACCAAAAAATTAAAAATTACCTTAAATCGTAAGGTAAAATCATTTTTAAATACTCCAATGAGAAATCAATTAGTATAAACAATGTTTTTTCAGAAGTAGTCTAAAATAGTTCCTGATCAGAAAAGTATTTCATTAAAAAATAGTTCATCAGAAAAGTAGATAATGATGGTGGAAGAGAATTGGAAGCCCATATATATGTGATCCTAACTTCGGCTCAAAGTTGGATCACATAATAATTAAAAATGTACATGCTGCTGTATGCTAATAATGTATTAATTTTCGAAATTAAATCACCACTGCACTGGCCAATGGCCATGCATGCATCCAACGGAGGTGGAACTTTGATCAGGCCCACTCTCGTTGCCTAAATGGGCTTGTACGTGGGGCTTGTACGTGGGTACCAGCTGCTTCATTCACCAGCATCCATCCATTAATACTATATATTATTATTATATTGGCCATCTTAATTTCTTCTTGTTTAATTTATTTATTTGTTATCCACTCACAGTGAGTACAGTTTTGAATCTATAGTAGGGCAGCAAAATGAGCATGGTTATTAATATTGGCTCCTTGTCGGGATTAATGCAAATATTCCACCATCATAATATAAATCCACTGCATGCTTCTGCTTCTGCTTCTGATTCTGCTCACATGAACAGACGACGAAGCACCAAAAAGGTGAAAGCTTTGTTTCAGTCTGAACCAGCTGCAGCTGATTCCCATAACAAACCAGACGAAGAAGATGAAGAAGAAGAAGAAGAATTCCATGTGCTGACGTCAGTTCAAACCTCTTACAACCAAATTGTGATCCTTGACACTCCCAATTCAAGGCTCCTTCTTCTCGATTCCACCCGTATTAATATTTATTAATATATATTTCCCTTAATTAATTCTCTCGATCCCCTTTCTCTTCTTAATTTTTTATTTTCATTTTCTCCTGCAGATAATGTTCACAGCATGCTTAATAAATCAATTAGTAAATGGACCGGTTCTTGTTGGGTACGTACGTACGCCGCCATATATATATATACATTTTCTGATCTTCTTTTCTGTCTAAAATGCATCATCCTTCTGCTAGCTGTACAATTCATTAATTGGCCAATGTATCGGGATATTGATTATTGCTTTACTTTGTAACCCCTTTGTTTCACTAATTGTGCATGCAGGATGAGTTTGCTGTATTGCCGCCTGTGGTTCCAAAGGGCCCTATTGCAATCTTTGGCTTGGTAATACATTAATTGTACTTGTTGCTATATTTCTTAATTAATTAGGTGATTCTTTTTTTTTTTTTTTTATTTTTAATTGCTGATGATTCATGGAATACATGGAAAATACTTTCAGGGTGGAGGAACAGCTGCACATTTGATACTTCAATTGTGGCCTTCGTTGCAGCTCGAAGGCTGGGAGATAGACGGAATTGTATTATCCTAATTAATTAATTACCCTTTTTTCTCCTACTTTCAGATTTGATTGATTGCTATGCTACCTCATTTTGTCAATGCTCGTAGTACATGTTCACCATTAATCATAACTGATACACGTAATCAGGTTTTAAAGAGTGAATATATAACACTATTTCATTGCAAAACAATTTCGTATATATATGTATACTTGAATATATAGTATTTTTCTTTCTTTCTATCTAATGATATATATATATATGCTTATACTTGAATTTGATGCCAGTTAATAGATAAATCAAGAGACTATCTTGGGCTGTGTGATATCGAGAAGCGCAATACGGATGGTGGAATACTTAATATTCACATTGGTGATGTATTCTCTCCAGATGCTGTTATTAACGGAGGATATGCTGGTACAATTTATCTACATGTACATCGATCGATCTGTTTCTCCTGTATCTACTAGCTAGGCAGCTATATGTAGTAGAGATCGATCTGCCAACTTGTTAATTTCTTCTGTTCAACAAATTTCAGGAATCATTGTTGATTTGTTCGCAGGCGGAAATGTTGTGCCACAGTTAGAACAGGTACTACATACGTACGTACTAACCTTGTGACAAAAACATTAATTAATAAAATTCTTTTCGACTATATTTTTGCTATTCATGGTTGTCCTCACAGACTATTATTATAGATGTGATATACTTGCAGTAATTCTGCAATTGGGGGGTTCCTCTTTCGATAAATGAGCTCATGATCTCTAGTTTGTTTTGAAGAAATCCAACTCTTCCAGTTCGTAGCCATTCTCTCCATTTACTTCGTACATGCTACTTTATATATATGGTCAACCTGCAGGCCACTACTTTGTTGGAACTCAATGATAAATTGATGCCTAACGGACGTCTCATGGTCAACTGTGGTGCTGGTGAAGATATGAATGATGTTACATCAATGGATGACACTAATTGGAGATTAAATGCTACCATTAGAGCCCTATGCCAAGCATTTCCTGGACAAGTATATATGCTGCTTTTTTAATTATGTTCAATATAATATAATAATTAGTTAAATATAAACCGGTATGACACTTGGAGATTACATCTCAAGGCTGAGAGATTTATATGAATATAATTGTTCTATCCTACAATATGCTGATAATTGTTTTATATAAAAGATAATAAAGGACTCATCAATAATCATGTTGCATGAATTGTGATTGTGTATCGGGATTCAGTTGTCTCAGAATTTGCAATAAATATCATCAGGTAAACTGGAAAAAGATGGCAAAGAGTGCAGGCGAAAACTATCTGGCTTTGACGGGACCTTTGCCAGATTTGAATACCTGGTCAGCTGATCTCCCTAATGAACTGAACTCAGGTGTCAATCAGTGGCGGACATGTAATTAATTACAACAGTTTTGATTGGTATACACTCAAGTTTAATAAGCTGTTACCAGTACTTTGTTAGTATACACTCATTTCTTTGTTGTAGCTCTCCACAAGTAAATTTTCTGTTTACAACTTAACTGTCATTATTTTTATTTAATCATTCTTGAAATGGTTTCACTCGTGTTCATATGAATTTTACTTGCCCACATAATCTTGAGTTATATAAGCTCCTGCAACTTCATCCTACTTATCCAATAAAAATTCGAAAGATAGAAAAGTACTGGGATTGCAAACATGAAAAAAGAGACGATACATTAGAAAATACCTCATAGAAATACGTTGGATCGATCGTTGAAATAACCAATGTATCGGTGTTTCTTGGTGTTGGTTGATTGATTCTCCAAAATATTTCTTCTTTTGGAAATTAGGTCAAGAAATAACCGTAAAAAAAGACGGGATTTGGGAGTTAGATCACTTTTTTTTTTTTGCTAAAAATAGCTGAAATAGTAATTTTTTTAGTAGCTGAAAGTGATTCTAAAAGGCTGAGGGAAGGAAAAAAAGATTGATTGATCTGCTGCTCGATCGGAGATATAAAGGAAGCGCTGGTAATCGAACTCTTTCGCGAAAGGGATTCAGCCGCCGAGACTCTGTCTCTTATGAGAGCAGTGGCTAATAGAACAGATGCGCCTCAAAAACCAGCGTCCTTCTCAATCAATGCCCGGCCATCCCATACATAACCACCGAATAATCATTCCCCGGATCTGCACTTCTTAGGGTGCTTGCTGGAAATGTTTTCATTGAGAACTTTTCTAGTCGGCGTCAAAAGTTGTGCACGTTCGCAATCGGTCAACCACTTGTAATGTACTATTCTTGGCCACTCTTTGCGTTGTCCCATCACGTTGTGGTGTGGGGATCCGATCTATAGCGCGCCACCCAATTACGTACGGCTACAAGCAGCGGTCTACCCTTGCCCCTCCTTCTCCACTTGGCATGGCTACAGCCAGACAGTCTTTCTTTTTATTGAACGTAGGGCAATTCGTTTCAAACAGATAAAGGTCGAAATCACACATTAGATCTGGTGAAAACTAAACTTGCATTCCTTTATTGATGAGCAGACATTAGTCCTGAACCACAGCATCACCAAAAATTGGTGGATTGTCCAAAAACCTTTTTCACGATAAAAATCACCAAAATCTGTATACTATAGTACTTTGATTTTAGGTAAAATTGGTAGAACGTCCAAAAAACTTTTTCACGATCATTCTTAAAAGAAGTCTATAGCATTAAATTTTGGATAAAATTGGAATCACACAGTAAGAATGATCGTGAAAAAGTTATAGACTTCTAAAAGTTATCCAAAATTTCGGGTTTTCGGGTTTCGGGTTTCGGGTTTCGGGTTTCGGGTTTTCGGGTTTCGGTTTTCGGGTTTTCGGGTTTCGGGTTTCGGGTTTCGGGTTTCGGGTTTCGGGTTTCGGGTTTCGGGTTTCGGGTTTCGGGTTTCGGGTTTCGGGTTTTCGGGTTTTCGGGTTTCGGGTTTCGGGTTTCGGGTTTCGGGTTTCGGGTTTCGGGTTTCGGGTTTCGGGTTTCGGGTTTCGGGTTTCGGGTTTCGGGTTTTCGGGTTTCGGGTTTCGGGCGTTACGTTTGTTCCATTGGATATGGTACACCCGAACG